TTGTTCAGAGGCTTTTATTCCATGATAATTCAGATAAGCTTGAACAGCTCTCTTGTATTATTAGGAGCTATTTTTAGAGGAAACGCTAGCGATACATCTGAGGATTACTTTATACCACACTGGATGAATTATTCGTATTACCAGATGAGTCGTCGTTCGGCAATATCCATCAAGTTCGAACCAAGGATTAGTTTGCCCGATGAACTACTCCGAGTTCGCCTACTCAAACATGCTAAAAAAAGACCATTTATTTTTCGTTTATCAGTCTATCTTTCCAGTGAAGTCTGAACATGTTTGAACAGGGATATGGACATTTTGGCTTTGCTTTACAGGAAACACGTCGAGGTTTGGTAATGGAAACGAGTTCAATGGTCGATGATATGGATGCTGCGGACGAAAGAGCGTTTTCATCGCTTCTGGAGGACGGTTCTGGAAGCAGCGACAGATCAAAGTTAACATTAGAATTAGCGAAAGAGCTTCTCATGAAGGATAGTGTAGGTCGCAATGCAGATACCCTGATGGTTAGTTGTGAATATTTTTCTCCAAATTTTAGATTTTTCCCTATATTTTTGAAAATATCTGAAGGTCCTTATGAGGTGCAATTTGTAGTGCTAATTTTGACCTGTTAAACTGTAGTGCAACTGTTTCGGCTTCAGTGTGTAGTGTTTCTGAAAGATACTCATGGGGGATTGAACTATGTTGAGGAAACAAGTGTTGCAGAAGTTACGTAGCGAAACGGAAGGCATGTGGCCGCCGAGCGATTTGGAAAAGACAGGTGATGGCAGCACCGAAGAGCAGGATAAACTGGCAGTTTTGCGTGTGGGTTCACCCGAATCATCGGGCAGCAGTCGTCCACAACTCTCGCCTACTTCTGCTGAAGCCCGAACATTAATCAACCCTTTCAAGCCAGAGCAGTTCAGTGGTAATGCTTTTCTTGTTATTTTATAAGAAACCCAGCAAAGCTTGACCTTCAGGCATGGGTTTTAAGCTCATAACCTTGTTTTTTGTTAATTCTATTCAATCATCCAGTAAGGCTGACTTTTTTTGTTGATTTAGGGCAGGAAAAGCTACTAATGGTAATTAAATGAAGAGATATTTTTTCTCCACAGAGGGCAGGCAGCTTTTCTGTCCTCCGTTTCTAAAACATGTGTGGAGGCGCGTCCCGTCTCTTTTGGAAAAAAGGTCTTGGGATCGATGAAAATTACCAATATATCTATATTGGTGCTCACTTAATTTCAGTCGCCCTCAAATCCCAGATGAGCCAAAAATCTCGGAGTAAAAAAAAAAAAA